ATGGAAGTTTTCAGGTTCTCAGTTATTTCTAAAATAGCTTGTTCCGTTGAGTGTCCTTTTCTAAAGCCGAACTGATACTTGTTGAGTATGTTATATTTCTCTAAAAAAGTCATAAGCTGGTCATATACAATTCGCTCAAGCGTTTTACTGAAGGGTGATAGCAAAGCTATTGGCCTATAATTATTTGGGTCTGTCGTTATCCCACTCTTATAGACTGGCGTTACTCTAGATATTTTGAAAGCATTGGGAAAAATTCCAGTAGAAATAGATTGGTTAAAAATATGAGCAAAAGGCACTGATAGAGCACTACTAGCCAGCTTTATCATTTTGTTAGGAATATCTGGAGAAGACTTATTCACATTTAGTTCCGAGAAAAGTCGACAAACGTATTCCTCAGAGACAGGTGACATGCAAAAACTTGAAATTGGTGAGTTAGTTACGTATTTGGTGGGATCATCATTAGAATTTGGGATTGAATTAGCCAATTTGGGACCTACATTTACAAAATGCTGATTAAATTGCTCAGCAATGTCGAACTGATTGATATATGTTTTTTCATTTCTAACAATTCTAGTTGCACAAGTATGACCTTTATTTTTCCTATTAATCAATGTGCCTATCAATTTTAGATTGTTTTTACATTGATGGAACTGCTGATTATAATATTCATTTTTAGTTTTTAATTTATTCAATACATTGGAATAGGATTTATATATAGAAACTCTCAATGGATCTCTACTTAAAAAGTGTGAGCTTTTGAAAAATGAGACCTTTTGAAAGCCAAGGTTTTGATAATTGTTCCATCCTATTACGCGAGGCTTGTTTAGTTGGTGCATGCCTCTCAATTATTTGAGTAATGGTGTTAATACATTCATTAGTCATTTCATGCAAGTTTTGATTGTTGTTAAATATTTCAGACCAATTTACTGTATTTAAATCATTTACATATTTTGTCTTATTAAATTGACTGTAGTCCCTTAGGTAAATATTCTTTTTAATTCTACTAACTGATGTGTTATACAGAGAAAAGGTGGGTAAGTGATCAGATATGTCTACCAGAGCAATACCAGAGACAATGTTTTGAGTCGATACATTAGTGTAAATATGGTCGATTAATGTAGAGGAGTGTTCAGTGATGCGAGTAGGTTTTGTTATAATAGGAATAAAATTACCTAAGTAAAGCATATCTAAATATTCTTCCGTATGAGCATGTATGCTGTATTTAAGGAAATCCACATTCATGTCCCCCAATACAAACACTTCATGTTTATTATTCTTTAATTGCTTAATTATACTTTTTAATTCAGAAGTAAACTCTTGAAGATTAGCTGATGGATGTTGATAAATACATCCAACCATAATAGTAGATCTATTTCTGCCAGCGGAAATCTCAGACCAGCATGATTCAACAAGCGGCATAGAAAATTTTATATCAGGTCTATGTATACATTGCAAATCTTTGTTTATATATAAACCATGATATACTATCATGACCTGACTTATTTAAAAGCTGATTAAGTTTAGTCATAGAGTAATAGTTTGAATTAGGGGATGGCTTCAACGTTGAGACGAACACTGTTTGGGAAGTTCAAGGGTGCCTGTGGCATGGATGCGAAAGATGTTACGCCAGAGATACCGTGAATCCGATCAACCATATGACCATGCAAGATCTTAAGCAGCGAACCCTAGAGAAAATCCAATTCCTGAAGGACAACCGATACAACATCGTAGAGATTTGGACATGTGATCTTGAGCGTCAACTTGCCACTGAACCTGAGATAAAGGATTGCTTCGACAATTTCGAGATCTCTGAACCTCTGGAACCTCGTCATGCATTCTTTGGTGGCCGTACAAATGCAGCACGCCTTTACTACAACATGCAGCCAGAAGAGAAGGTCCGCTATGTAGATTTCTGCAGCCACTACCCATGGTATGTATCTTGTTAAAGTCTTTTAACTCAAACGTGTTTGTCATAAACCTTCTTAAGCAATTTTTAGGTGTAACAAATACGGCGAGTATCCAATTGGCCATCCCGAGATTATTACTGAGAACTTTCAACCTATCAGTAAGCACTTTGGTTTGGTGAAATGTTCTGTGCTTCCTCCTTGTGCCCTACACTACCCCGTCCTCCCTTACCGTACTCAGGGTAAATTGATGTTCCCGTTGTGCCGTACCTGTGCTGATAACCTTCAACAAGAGCCCTGCCATCACAGCGACGCCGAGTGAACATTTCATGGGATGTGGGTGACATTGGAGCTCGAGAAAGCACTAGAGAAAGGCTACAAACTGGTGAGAATCAATGAAGTTTGGCACTTCCCCGAGCACACGGATGGACTGTTTAAGGACTATATTGATACATTCCTCAAAATCAAGCAAGAGGTAAGGTTTCATCACATGTGTGATACTGTCACACATCATTAGTTTCTTATTATTCCTTTCTCTTTTGCAGGCGAGTGGCTTTCCTCTGGAATGTGACACCGATGAGAAGAAGGGGCAGTATATTGCTGACTATGCCGCAAAAGAAGGTATTCAGCTGGAACCAAGACAGCATAGACGGATTTTGTGGGGGGGGGTAGTTCTACCCCCCAATATTAACTATAACCCCCTCAAAACAAAATGTCCACCCCTCCAAAAAAATTTTAAACCCCCCCCCCCAATATTCGGCATAATAAAAAATAATTAAATAGTCCACTCGAATGTGCAGAGTGTTGATGATACAAAATAAACATAGGAGTAGACGTGAACAGAAAAAGACAGTGCAGCACTATGCCCCAAATATTATTTGTGCCCCAAATATTATTATGCCCCAAATATTATTTACATCTGAGTTGCATCATAAATTGTACTCGGATTCAAACAACACAATGTCAATGACTTTATAAAAGTAAAAGCATATTGTGTATTGGCCTATTGGATTTACACTTTTACAGGTTCATTTAACTTTAACTCTCTCAAGTCTCAACAGACAATCGGACATGCCAAATCCATTGATATGACAACTTCAAAAAACGTTTTTTCGAAGCTAGAAATCATGATTTGTTTCAATTTTTTTCAGGGATACTTTGTTTTCTGCTGTCTAGGCTCCACCTCGCAGCTCTAGTGCTCCACCCCTAGAATATAGACCTTACTGGGGTTTGGTGACACTTCATGTTGCTTCAGTCACCTGCTCATGGCTCACCCCCTAAAATTTCTGGCACCACCCCAGTAAAAAATATGAAAATCCGTCTATGCAAGACAGATTGTCAAGAATCCTGGTCTGAGGGCGTTGGCCAAGCTCATGTTGAACTCTTTTTGGGGTAGGTGTAATGGCAGATTGTCCACTAACATTACTTGTTTTTCTTCGGGAAATACAATAAACGAGTGTATGTTAAAACCTATCATTTCTTGTAGGAAAGTTTGCACAATGGCCCAACATGACCAAGGTCAAAATCATATCGGATCCAGCCAAATACTTTGACCTCCTATCCAGCGACCAGATTAACGTCACCGTCGTGAACTTCATCGACGACGAGCTCATCGAAGTCCACTTTGAAAACATCGATGAATTCATGGAAGCCGATGGAAAGACAAATGTGGTCATCGTCGCGTTCACCACAGCCCATGCCCGCCTCAAGCTGTATGGTGTCCTGGAGCAATTAAATCGCAGAGTCTTGTATTTTGACACAGATTCTGTAATCTATGTTTCAAAGGAAGGCGAATGGGAGCCACCGACGGGATCCTATCTTGGTGAACTAACAGATGAATTGGATGGAGCTCACATTACCACCTTTGTGTCTGGAGGTCCTAAAAACTACGCCTACGAGATGAGCACAGACGAAACAGTGTACAAAGTTAGAGGGATCACCTTAAACTACAGAACTGCACAAAAGGTTAATTTTAATTTAATGTGTGATATGGTTTGTTTAGAAGCATTGTCTGATCTCACAGATAGGATAAGTGTCAATATTCCATTTAAGATTATAATAGACACTAAGGAGAAAAGTGTAAAGACGAAGAGTGAAAACATGGAGTATCATATTGTATATAATAAACGTTGTCTCAAGAAATGGTCTTTCAATAGTTTAGCATCCACAACTAGTCTTCCACACATTTTTATATAAAGTACTGTGACCTCTTCTGTCTAAAGTGAAGTGTTGCGATTGACTTCCCAAACTCAAATGAGACGTTTTCGTTTTGGTCATTCTTTGTATTGACTTCAATGGTCTCAAAAGAATTTACTTTGACCGGTATGTATTGCAAATTACGAAAACTGGCACGAACGGTATTTCCACATTCCCCTTCGATATTAATGATTCACAGTAAAGGCACTTTCACATCGCCCACAAACTGTGTATCAATGATATCAGTATAGACATACATGGAGGAAAATCCACCATTGATATCTGCAGCATAGGGACTCGACATTTTCTTTTTAATCAGTGTGTCCTGGTCAAATCCGAAGACTGTAGCTAATTCTCCGGTAAACTACACAGTTGTGCCGTGTTTTACATCAATCAAAACTTTGCGAGAACTGTGATTATAACTAAACTTTACTTTCGTCTGTGTTTCGTTCGACATGCCGGCATTGAGTGCTTTTGTTAATTGGTCGATAGAAGAATATTGTGTTTCTTTAAGCACAACAGTTTGATAAGGGTTACTGCCAATTTTATACAAAAACGTTTGTTGCACTCCACGTCTTAGCGTGCTCCACATATGTGGGTAATGCAGTTCCATCAATGTGACTTCCCATTCATTGTCCTGGCAACACAATGGTTTCAGTCAATTTTACTCTAAAATTCGCTTCCGTATTATTTGGAAAATAAGCTAACGAACTATTACTCGGTAGCGTGAGATAAAACTGTGTTGCCATATTGAAGACCAACACACTAATGAACACAACTGATAAGTTTCAAATACATCTATTTAATATCTTTTACACTCTCTGCTGGTACCCAAGAATTAAATTTTTCGGAGTAGCCCATCCATTTTACAAAATATTCTTTTCGTTTATTACGCATGTGTGATCTAAGTATTTCTTCAACTCAATAAAAATCACTGTCTGTTTTTTTCACTCTTTGAAGCTCTTGTTCATAAAATGTCCCTTCCAATTCTTCATCATCATAATCAGCAATCTTGTACACGGGTGGTTGTCGAAGAATATGTTTGGTTGTTGTAAACACTTCCTCGGTCCAATTAGGTAAGTATCCTTTCTTAAATGTGTGCCTTGCTTTGCTGATTCGTACTTGATTGCCAATATTAAACTTAAACCAAACGGGTTTGTTGGACTCTTCTCCATAAAGTTTTTACCACACAATGCTCTCGTTGTCTTCATTTACAGCAACGGGCCTCATACCAATACTACGATGTCTCGAATGATTATACGATTTTACCAGTTTCTGAAGAATGTCCACGTACTTGAGCATGTTCTTCACTGCAAAGTATTTCCACGTTTTCGTTTTGAGCATACGATTAAACCTTTTGACAATCGATGCCTTGGTCTCGTTTTGCGTCGGATGTTATCTTTCTTCAAAAAGGTTTGAAACTTTTGATTCACAAACTCTGTCCCTTTGTCGGTGTGAAATGTTTCAGGCTTTTAACCCTTTTTAAGTATTTTCTCAAAGGCTTTACAATTACACAGTTCCGTTTGAAATGATATCTTACAGGTTTATGTAGGGTATATATGTCTTGCTTTTGTAGCCATAGCCGTATTTTATTCCGCGATATCCAATGTTTTCCTTCGTCTTTTACAAACACGGTAAATTGAATCTACGCTACCAAAACTTGCAGGACTTTCTGGATTGCAATAGATTTGGGATCAATGTCTGAGGCTTGAATTACAATTTCCCCTCCACAGCACACGGAAATACAACACACTTTCCGAAAGATATCTCGGAGGGAAATTTCTGGAAGACTTTTACCACAACAGGGCATCCTTTCACCTTGGTGGTTAGAACCAAATGAACCATGCAGGAATCATAGACTAACATATAAAGCTATTAGTGTAAGTGAGAGCATTATTAAAATTGGTGGTTTATTATTCCTTTTCGCCTTTGGGATATGAAAAATTCGAAAGGCCTTGACAGTTTTTTCGGACATGTTCTCGAACGCTTTCCTCGTTGTCACTTTGCATACAAACTAATGCTAAATAGGCAAAAATGCGACCAAAGTTTGTCATATTTATTTCTCTGTAGACTTGGTCAAGGTTTAGACCATGAGCACTCACTTCACGATATAGATCTCGATGGTGGTCGAGAATTGCACTTATATGAAACGATAAAGTCTGCTTATCCATATCGATTTCATTTTGTCTCAACTCATCAAAAACTATATTTATATTATTCATCTCACCAGAGAACCTCTCATCGTAAAGGTTAAAACCCAAATAAGAAATGTAAGTGATTTATCTCAATAACATACAAAACACATTCATGATGATAAAAACAATTTATTTCGTTTTATTACAGTTATTCATATTTCTTAAGAAATTCTTCATACACTTCCTTAGCATTAATGTTAGTACTAGTGAATGTCTTCATTCTTGTATCGATATTGTAGTGGATCACTGAATAGGACGGCAAAAGAACTCTGTGTTTCGCAAAAAAACCAAAACATACCACAACCAGTTGTAGAACAAGCAGCTGATTTGCCGTGAAAACATTCCATTCTGAGTCTTGGTCACATGAGGCTCAATCTCTTTTCCATTCGAAAAATTCACAGCTGTCTATCTGAGAGCATCTGGGTGGGTCCTTCTTTTTTCACTTTATGCACAAGTGCATACCATCCCGTACTTGCAGCGTGGTCGAGGGCTTTCGTAAATATCTCCCCATCGCCAAAAGTTGCAAGGATCATGTCGATCAGAACACATGAAGAAGGGTCTTCCATAATTATCTTTCATTTTATCTTTTACCACAACATACTTTGGCCAATCTCTGGGCAAATGGGATGATTGGAACCACTATTCTGACAGGCTTCCATCGCTCTCGTAAACAGATAACAGTCTTCGTCATGGCAAAAGAACTCTGTGTTTCGCAAAAAAACCAAAACATACCACAACCAGTTGTAGAACAAGCAGCTGATTTGCCGTGAAAACATTCCATTCTGAGTGTTGAATACAGACTATGCAGGTGAAAGGACGCTAGCTGTGTTTATAGTGCCGTTACTGTATTGTGATGCTAATTGGTCGTGTTACCTGTCACATTTGGCCCAGGCTTGCCAGTGCGCTAATTAGTTGCATTACCTGTCACATTTGGCCCAGGCTTGCCCGAGTGACATCATAGATTTTGCATACTAATTTTCCTCCTTGTTTTCTTGCGAATTATAATAGATGAGGTTTATTTTGCATTGACCTTGCTTTGAGGTCAATGATGCTTTTATTCAATACTTCTTTTTCCTTTTCCAGTTTCTCTAGCCATCCTTCCTTGTTAAAACATCATTTTCTTTCCATGATTGGCTCTCATCCTTTAGATAGTTTATGTCTGTGTGTGTGCAAGCTATATCAAGGCTCTCACATGCCTGCCAAGTCCAACACATTATGCATGTGACAAATACCTCAACATAATTTCACATGCTTAGTATAATTTATCTCTGCAGCTAGAGAGTTTACTGAAGATAATTGAAAAATCTTAAAATGTATGAAATGATTTAACTTTCTGTGTTTAAGTACTATTTAAAACACAAGCAGGAGTGCTTTATAGATATAAAACACAAGAGTGCAGGTTGAGTGTTTTATATCTATCAAGCATGTATACATGTCCACAAGCATGGACTGCAAATGTTTTAAATGGCTTAAAGATGACCCACCTGATGAGTTCATGGGCGAAGTAATTTTAAAACTAAACATTGTTTAAGCTGAGAAAATCAAAGCTACAGTTTATGCAAATAACATGATTTTCTATCACACATAAAACCACAGACACAGTGGCGATTTCCTTTGTATATTCCTCGTGAATTGTTAATGAATTTTAATTTTTTTTTTCATTGTTAATCTCTATATACATTGTGAGTATTATCAGATCTGCATATTATCAGTGCATAAATGCTATCTGATTACAGCTCTTATAATTGACATATTTTAATACAGATTCGGCTATTATATGCCGCAATTAATAGTACTATTAAATTATTGAACATCAAGCAAACATGATCAGTTCTGTTATAAACAACAACAAACTATAAAGAATAAATGTTTTTTAAATACAATGCTTAATTAGTTTCAAATACAATGTGTGTATATTATAAATGTAGGTGATCCATAATACAAAACTTTATCTTGGATATTAGGTCCAGGGCATGATCGTGATGAAACTCAATAATTCAATAACAATTGCCAACACATTTAGGCCATCCGCCACTCACATAATTTTGACTTTTCGTTGCACCCCTGCTTTTTGTTTATATAATCCAAGTATAAAATGTTGTCATCAATTCCTCCAGCAGTTTTAAAGAAAATATAACTTTAATTCCCCATATTTTGTAATATTTGTAAGCATTTTTTTAGTTGCATGTAATCCCATGCACATATCTCGAACCTCGAGATTATTGTTTTCTGGCTTCCTATTGGTTCATATGCGTCTCACACTAAGGTCAAATTACAAGGTGACAATGAAATGTCAACAATGGTGGACAATATGAGCGAATGTTTTATTCATTTTAGCACATTTTCAGATGAAGATATTTTAATTATGGGTACGCGAACCTCTTTATGCAAAATCGTTGAGTGCAGGAAACAGTGGTGTGTTCTGGATGGCGAGGCAAGAGCAATGAATGAGAAAAGTTTCGAGTTTATAACCGAGGAAGAAGGCAAGCAGGTCTTTGATAGCGATGTTTGGACAGAAGTTTGGACACACGATGCTGAAAGAACAGCAAAACTAGTCATGTATTCGAAAGCTTGTTGTTGACAGCCAAGATGTCTTTGCTGTTCTGGCTTCGGCAGAAGTCCCACCAGCGTTGTTTTTTGAGCTCCATCGATTTCTTCGTGGTACAATTGAGAATTTTGTTGTTGCTGTTGTTAGCCTGTTAGAGTATATCTGTGTCCAGCAAGTTGAGACCTTGAGAAAGCTTGGCATTCAAGCCGTGCACAGAAGTGACTAATTAAATCTTTGTTTGCTGATCAGTTAAATAGAGAAACTGAACTCGTAATTATATAAAAGTACCTTGGATTTTTAAGTTAGAATATAATTTTTTGTGCAATGAAATTTGATAGATCCTTTTCAAGATGACCCTCAAGAAAATGGCATGGTCAGTCTATCTAGTGGCACGGTTGCTCCTGAAGATGTTGTCACCGATCTGGATGGTGCATTTGACAAAGGGAATGACGTGTTTGAACAGTTTGTTTCGAGCAAGTTACTTGTTGATGAGCCAGATATATTTTCTCCAATCGCAAAACAGAACACTTGTCAAAACATTTGTCTCAATTAAGAAACCTGCTGCAAGACTGATGTCAAAGGGTCAAGTTGTTTCACTTAAAGCAGACCGAAATACTTTTGCCAGGCTTTTCATTATCGGACAAAAGAGATCAATCAATGTAACAGAGATGCTTTTGTATTGTTTGGGGCCATATCCTCTTTTGTTGGCCACAGCTGCAGGAAATATTTGAAAAACAACAGTAACTGCCAATTTGAGTTTCCAGATTGTGTGGTAGACATAGATACAGTTCCAGCTGACTGTAGTGCTTTACTTGATGCTATAGCAGTTTTACAGAGTTTTGTTATTCTGGAGAGCTTGCTGATAATATCCTTGCAAGAATACTTGCTATCGCACACAACTTCAAGGCATCCCATGTTGACTTCATAGCTGACCGTTACCTACAGCTCAGTATGAAGAATGCAGAACAAGAAAAACAAGCATCACACAGCACAAGTAAGGTACGTATTTACGGACGCGATCAGAAAGTGTTTAAACCATGGAAGTTTATTTCAAGTGGCAGAAATAAAGAGAGTCTCATAGCTTTCTTGGTCAAAGATGAATGGGTACTTATTGGGAGAGATCCAGCTGTACGTAACATCAAGGAAAGAATGTACAAAGTTGTTGTCTGTTGATGGTTGTGTCATCCAGGAGCAAGTCAACCAGGTCTTGTGCAATCATGAAGAGGCGGACACAAGATTGATGGTGAGGTAAGAGTTCATTGGTTCTCCTGTTTACCTGCGATGGACAATATTATTGAAAGTGCCAGTTCCAATTGCAAACGTTTGTCAAACACAGTATTCTCTTCGCCCGAGGAGGATATCAACCGAGGAAGTACTAGAAAAAAGTCACAGATTCAACACCAACACTTGCCACAACACTTGCAAAACGGGTTGCAAGAATAAAAGGTGTAAGTGCAAGAAAGAAGATTTGTCCTGCACCAAGATTTGTGGTTGCACTGAGTGTGACAACCAATAATCTGCAGAAACTGAGGATTGTGATGATGTCTACAGTGACGTTGAATCGGACGATTCAAATGCAGAGTAGATTGTTTTTATTGGGGGAATTTTAATGTAGCGCTCAGTATTTTGTAAGTGAAAGCTTCGGCAACTAATTGTTAAATAATGTCTTCTGAGACCTGTAGGACTTAGGACTGTCATTTTTCGATTTAATTAAGGTAGGAATGCGATGGGAATAGCCAATCGAGTTGATGTGAACAATCCGTCTGCTGACACTGCATGAACATGTCAACTATTGTATAAGTTTGTGTCCATATTGGTTCGGATTTGTAAATATTTATAATACTTTACCATTTTTCATAACATATTTTATTGTCTTGAATAGAGTATTATGTATTCTTAACTTATTTTTACTATTCTATACACTGTGTACGAAATTCAAGATGGCGGCCCAATCGTCGCTACAGACAAAATTATTTTTCTTGTTAACTGCAGGCTATCAGGGTGACAACATTTGTGTTTTATAATGGAAATATATCATATTACAATATAATAAGTAAATTTTTCACTCACTGCAATGAAACTTGTTTTCTAGCCGGTTTTTGACGAGTGGTGGATGGCCTAATTGGCGTTACTTGTAAGTTGCTACTATGTGTTCAATATTGAGTACCAAGCATCAACCAACAATGTGTTCCTGTTTTGGGAAGCTGGGACCAGAACCAGGGAATTTAAAAAAGGGTTGCAAGAACTTGACTGACATTTCAATTGGAACTAAGATGCATGGTAGATGATATACATGATGTATGGTTATACACAATGCAATATTGCCAACATGCAATACATGTTTCCAGTGGCCAGTGGTGGCCTCTTAGATATAGTGATGAAATTGCAGCTTGATTTCTTTGTTTCAGCTGGTCTGAAAGTTCTTGCCCCTAATTCAAGGTTGGTAAAAGCAGCTAATCGACATGCTGAGATTTTAGCTGCTGCTCTTCACGCTGCATTGACTTTTGAGCACAAGACAAGGGTATGGCGGATTTCAGCTATAAGAAGCCAACTCTGTGGATAAAAACGTTTACAGTCGGACCCGATGTTCTATTGCAGTCAGTCTTGCAATGTTCATTGGCTAATTGCTCTGAGCAAGTTCCAACCGGGAACTCGCAAGTCACAGCTGTCAAATTTTTTATACCTGCAATATGTTGAATTTGTAATTATTTGTTCCAATGTTATAGCAATTGTATCTAAAAACACAACTTTGATAATATTGACGAATGGTCAAAATAAAAATGTTTTGATCAAACAGCACCAGTACCACACATTATAACAGCACTAATGTTTATGCAAATGCAACAATGGCAAACTGTCAGAGTATTGCAAAGAATATTTCACCAGTGTCCAACAAGAGAAAAAAAGCGAAGTCGATCAACTAGTTCAAGCTCAGATGCTTTGCATTCAAGCTCTGCATGTGCATCAAGTTGACTCAGATGCCTATTGCACTCTGCAAAAAAAACATATACACATTCTCACAGAACATGTAGCAATACCAAGATGAAAGTAAGCAAGCACAGGAAACAGTAACATTGACAAGACACATGTGACCGAGCTGTCATTTTGTGGAGGGCTAAAATTTTTGAGTGCTAATTTGAAAGGGGTGCAACATTTTTTGCCCTTCGTTTTAGATATTTTACCTGCCCCCCCCCCCCCAATAATTAACGAGCGCTCCCTTAGCAAGGTTCTCTCTGTGAAAGCTGTGTGCGAAATGTACTGAGCAGCATCTACGTCCTCAGTTTATATTCTCGCATAACTCTTTTGAAAACCAATCAGATCTTAGGAAACTCCTCCAATGATCATTGTGTCTTTGCAGACGTCCGACCCTGCATACATATGCTGATTACGTCTAGACTACCTTGGCCATTGAGAGGCCGCCCATTCTTTAAAGCAACATCAAACGAGATTCAGCTCTGACGTTCACAGGAGGGTAGTTGTTCAACTTGTTCTTGCCATGTTCCTGGAACATATAAGCCAATGACAAAGGGGAAACAATTTTCTCATGTTTGTGATGTTACTCTGAGTGTATATCCACACCGGGTGAGCTTGAAAAATATTCCCGGCCATGGTGGGAATCGAACCTACGACCTTTGGAATACTGGCCCAATGCTGCCAACTGAGCTACGTGGTCAGGTCGGTTCGAGTATGTGATATTTCGGAACTGTATGTGACAGAAAATATCATGATGGAGTATGTGACAGAGTACGTGACAGAAAATATCATGATTACTAGATTAAATTGATATCGAAGGAACTAGACTCAGTTCCAAAATATCACATACTCGAACCGACCTGACCGCGTAGCTCAGTTGGCAGAGCATTGGGCTAGTATTCCAAAGGTCATAGGTTCGATTCCCACCGTGGCCGGGCATATTTTTCAAGCTCACCCGGTGTGGATATACACTCAGAGTAACATCACAAACATCATATTCACCTGAGTACACTACACCAACAGAAAATATAAATTTTGTCATACACGGGAGAAACGTTTTGTCCAATGACACAAAAATGAGATATCAGTAAATTTGCTCGTATAGCTATGTGTGATGTGTATAGTGTGTGTGTATTATGTATTGTTGAGGTCCTTACAATACTTATGCAAGCTAGAAAATACACCTGATACATTTTCAACAACAGCAATTACTGGCACCATCTGTTACTGCATTAGTTGCTACACAAAAACAGATAAATTTTACTCAACAACAGCTATTATCAAATATGCTTATACCAATGACAATACCAATTGCAGTGGAAGAGCAAAGCCTGGAGCAAAACAAAGGACATATTAATTTCAGACAACATAATGTTATGTTGGAAGACCTGGCAAATGTTGCAGGAAGTATTACAAAGTTGTAGACTGTTGATCTTTTGGTAAGAATTGATATTCTTGGCATTTTAATAATACATGTTTTGTTTACAATTCTATTTTGAATTTTGCCAAGTAAATATCTAGTTTATAAGAAAAACTTCATTGGAAATTTCTTCCAATGTGCATATCGTAACCTATTGAAAAATGCTCATGTTTTCTCAAGAAATGTTTGAATCCGAAGCTAAACCCACAGGTGTTGAATTCTGGGGAGTATGGGGGCTGAAATATTAAAGTTAGACCTTGTTCTTTCAAAATTCTACTTAGTTCTGGTTGGGAAAAACGCACATGGTGTGTGTAAACCACATTTGTCCATAACAAATAAGATTTCCATATACAGGATCAACCATCAGTAAAGTTTCATTGAAAAACTCAAGCATTTCCAAGACATTTGATCGGCCCGTTAGTAATTAGTAATGTCGAATATACTTTGTAATAAATTCACAGTATAGTTGCATTTTGTAGCATATCGTTTCACTTATGTCACAGGGTTTTCCTTTTTGGCGTGTGACTGTAAATGCGATTTCCCAGTCGTTGTTTTCACAGAACTTTCACAAAAAATTTACCTTGGTTGGATCAAGTTCACTCATTTGCATTAAATAATTTAATGTGCACAACTGATTTGCTTCTGTAATCGATTCTTCTGGGACTACATGCAACTTTTTGTATGTGTACCACAAATCTTTACGTGTAATGTTTGTTATTGTAGATTTAGTGGGAAGATTTTCAACTGTGCAAATCCTGTCTCGGAGTAGATAGGCTTGCAACTCCACAGTCGTTATGTTGGGTTTACATATCTTTTGGTATTCAATAATCAATATATACAACTACACTAGGCTTAAATTGAATTGTCTTTCCAACCAAGTTTTTGCACCAGTAAATGTCCATGCTTCACCTATTATCCCATACCTGTGTTAAAAGTGGCTTTCTGATTGGTGTAGAGCAGGTGAGCTTGTCGTCGAGCTCACCTGCTTTTTGCCGAACTTACCTGCTTTTCGCCCGAACTCACCCGCTAAACTGCTTACGTTGCAATAACAATAACAAATATGGCGGACAAGATTTAGCCGATAAACCTAAACTTTAAAGAACTTTTTCGGTGACTAACATACTGAGACTGAAGAAAAACCAAAGAAAAAATGCAGTAAAGGTAATGTAGACGTAGATAAAGAAGTATTTTCTTGCCCAGTGATTTTTTTGGTCGGGAACATGTTCACAAAACATCGACGAATATATCGCGAAGAGCTACAAATGTGTGTATGGCTTGGTGTATGGGATAAAAACCAAACGTACTTGCAGGTTCGGTGAGTCCGGGATTGGACGCACCTCGGGTGGCTGGAAGTTTCCAGAACTCACCTCGCTTCGCTCGGTAAGTTCGGGAAACTTCCAGCCACCCTCGGTGCGTCCAATCCTGGACTTACCTCCCTGCAAGTACGTTTGTTATAATGTTTCCTGTGAATCACTTGAAGCTGAGATGGACACATAATCCGAGAAAAGAAATCCGAGCAAATTAGTGCATTTTGTTGAACAAAGAACATTGCAGGCTCATAAGTTCTTATTTTCAAGATGTTGCCACCACTGTGCTTTACTATATTACTAGAGGAGGTACTCCTTCAGTCAAAAAAAGTGTTGCCAAAAACATGGCAGATTTTCACGTTTGCTTACGCCAGAATGACGCCTCTGATCCGAAATCCTTGTGGTAATTACCATTGAGCAAGGCTCATTTTTAGCCCGCTACAACTTTCACATCCCCCTGATTTTCCCAAAAA